GTACTCCAGAGTGTTGTTCAGCATGGGGGTGAGTAGAAAATGAAGGCTAATCATGTTTTGGGTGTACTATTCCTTTAAGAACTTTTAAGAATTTAATATAAATTTTTCTCAAAAATACTGCCCAAATTTATATTTCTTATAAATTCTGCTGCCCTAGAAGCAGCCCCTCCCTTCCCTGTGAAAATGAAGTGTCCATGACTGGTGTACGTAGAACAGAGGTTACACAGTGTCTACCTTGACTGTATAAACCAGCACGTAATGGGGTGATGTGAGGCAGAGCTGGATCTTATCTCCTTAGAGTTGATAAGATTAAATGTCTTAGTCATAAAAATGTGTTTTTTTGGCTGAAAGAGGTCTTGGATTCTGACCAGCCTTTCGAAGTGATCCAGAGATGCAGGGCTGCTGGGATTACAGTTGAACAGGGGGTGCTGTGAAATTTTTTTTGTTTATTTTTGGACAAAAGACCTATGAGCCTATAGACCTCCTATTTAAAATACAAAAAAATAAATACCATAAGTAAATAGATTCACAGATTCACTACTGCAGGATCGAAATTTTGTATGAAATAAAGGAGAGGAGACTGTTTTTACGCGTTATGACGGCTTTTCTGCAACACAAACGGTAAAACAACAGTATAGCTCCACCGTTGCTCCTTTATTCTCACTTTTTTTCTAAAACAGCAGAACTTCCTGGCCACACTACAGAAGCCTAAACAATTTGCAAAATGTGTCTAAATCAAATCTTACCCATAACAAACAAATAAATGAGCTATTTATTCTTAAAATAAGTGCATTTGTTCTTGAATTGAGGAGGTAAAAGAGACCTTTTGCCAATGGAACAAGACAATTTACATTTAAAATAAGAAAACACAATTGCATTGTCTTTTTTCAAGTGCATTTTATCTAATTATCTTATCTTAAGAGTAAAAATACTCATCCCATTGGCAAATAATCTCATTTACCTCCTCAAATTAAGGGTAAATACACTTAATTTAAGACAATTTTACTAATTTCTAGATCGTCTTTCCAGTGCACTTATATTTTCTATAAATGAGGCTTACATTCCGACCCCTAACTGTTACGGCCAAGAGATAACAATTACTAAATACGAAAGCCTAATTTATAACTGAGTTCTAAACATGTAATCTAACATCCTTATGTAACATTATCACAAGTTACTTGTTAAATAAACACAAATGTGCCCACATCACATCCTATGTAGATCTGAAGCTCTGTAGTTTACAGCATATTTGAATAACTACTTTACTGTCATNTTTACAGCATATTTGAATAACTACTTTACTGTCATGTACACTTCAGTGCACGAAACCAGGGTCTGTAACACACCGACATCATCAGTTCTCAGGTGAACAACTTCACAATAACACTATACAACGTAGATTTGGTCAGATGGCACGAACCTCAGTCACTGTGTTTATGTCACACGTGACTCTATTTGCTCCAAAATCCTTTTACGCAACTCACAAGGAAATAATTAGATTATTACACTATTTATATGTTATTGAACAGTTCTCCACATCGATTACACAAAGAACGCAAGATCAAAATGACCCCTTAAAAACTACTATGGTTATGTTAAATTGCACAAATAGATATGAAAGTATATTTGAATTATTGGATGCAAACTATTGGTACTTCAACATACCAGGAGGCAGATTTCTCAACTCGATCTATATTTTATACAGAGAGGCTTAAAAGTTTAATCAAATCCAGTGAAAACTTTCAAGAGCGCATCTGACAACTTCTAAAAAAACTTCTTATCGCAGGCATGGATAAAGAGATCCTGAGTTTGGAAGTGGAGAACCAACATAGTTCATACAAACCAATTTTGTATGTTCCTAGTTATCCCTGTTACAACGATCCACAACAAAATAAAAATATTTGGGCAGAAACTGCACATATGCGGGATGCTGATGGGGATTTTTTTAATATGTCATATTAAATCCAGCGTTCATTTCTGCAAATTTTGCTCCTATGAATTAAATAATGTCGCGCATGGTCTCGTCGAGCTGAAGGAAGTCAGAGCGGAAAATGACGGGAGGAGCAGCAGAGGCTGTAAGCTTTGCTTTGTGTGGGAATCTGGAATGAAGCAGGGCGGTTATGGAGGATGTGGGATTTTGGTGTTACTTTGAGCTACAGGCAGGATGCCCTGGTTGCAGGTGTCCAAATGTTGAAGTGTGCTCTGAGGTTGTGGAGATAAATGTCTCTCATAAGTGGACGGATTGGAATTGGCAATTCCAGAAGAAAGAGGCTTTCTTTTAAATCTTTTGGGGCAAAAAAAAAAACATAAAACAATGANCTTGTTAAATAAACACAAATGTGCCCACATCACATCCTATGTAGATCTGAAGCTCTGTAGTTTACAGCATATTTGAATAACTACTTTACTGTCATATACACTTCAGTGCACGCAACCAGGGTCTGTAACACACAGACATCATCAGTTCTCAGGTGAACAACTTCACAATAACACTATACAACATAGATTTGGTCAGATGGCATGAACCTCAGTCACTGTGTTTATGTCACACGTGACTCTATTTGCTCCAAAATCCTTTTACGCAAATCACAAAGAAAAAAAAACTTAATAATATTCTACTATTTATACGATATTGAACAGTTCTCCACATCGATTACACAAAGAACGCAAGATCAAAATTGTCAGGACTCCTGTTTTTGTGTTTGTGTTTCTGTGTTTGTCTCCCTTCATCCACCAGGAGGCACCTGGTTCTGGTCCGCCTCCTCACACACCTGCTGATGGTTTCCTCGTTAGACGGAGTGTTCATAAGCTGCTGACTGCCACTACCTCAACGCCAGAGTGTTTGCCAGTTGGGGGTACTCTAGCCAAGCTGAGGTTTTGCTGAGTCAAGCTGAGTTCTTGTCAACCAGAGTTTAACTTTGTTTTTGTCTTTGCCTCTCGGCACGAAGTCATCCCGCAAACTGGATTTCTCTGACCTTCACTCCCTGGAAGGATCAACTGAGCTTCAAACTGAGCTGGGGTTCAAACAGGAGGTTTGGATCCACTTTCCCCAAGAGATTGTTTGAGCTTCTCACTGAGAAAGGGATTATTCTCCACTACGACCCGTTCAAGTACCGCAGGAAATCTGAGTGGCAGACAGTCTCTCCGTTCTCCAACTATCAACCGCATTCTGGGTAAACCCTGTTTCGCCCTCCACCG